TGGGGACCCTGGGTAGGACACAGAGCAGATCCTGGGGAGGAGATGCCTGAGGGGACCAAAAAGGATGGGATGGGAGGCCCAAGGGGTGGGATTTTGGAGCACCATTAAAAGAAACAGGTGGGGGCCCTCCCAGCAATTGACAGTGGACCTCCCTTGTCAGGGATTGCTGAATGGCTTCCTGCTGTTGTATCTTTCATTTCTGATAAAACATCACCCAAATAGTTTTCAAACAGTGCCTGCCAATGGAGCTTGAAGGCACTCGTTCCATCAAAGCCATATCTGTAATTCAGAGGCATAAACAGAGAATGTAGATTTGTCTCTTAAGGTGCTGTCTCATTTCTACTAGATGTCAATTAGTATCATGTAAAACATGATTATTAAAATTAAAACCTCTTACACTTCTATTTCCCATTGAAAAATAATTCTGGTGGTAAAACACTCACTTTTGTTTGTTTTTTTCAAATCAAAATAAATGTGTGTACCTGTGGACACAGACAGGGCTCCCTCACAGAGAGGCCTATGAAGTATGGGCTGGATGAGCAGACAGCAGGCTGGTGGAAATCTGCTGGCCAGGGTGGTGATCAGGAGTGCAACATCCAGCTGGAGGCCAGTGATTAGCAATTCCTGGTGAACATCTTCACTGATGATCTCAACGATGGGATATAGTGCTCAAGTTTAATGGAGTTGATGAGTTTACATTCTGACTGCAAGGAACATGTTTTCACATCTGAAGCAGGGGATGGGAAACCAGAGACTCACTTTGAACACCAAATGATTTCCAGAGCCTTTCCAGAGCCTTTCATTCAAATCCGGGAATTTTGGATTAAAAAAATCCCGATGCTCCTCCATTACTCTGGAAAGGGGATCCTGGTCTGTCAGGAGTTAGGACATTGCTGAATATGAAAGTTGGAGAAGACAACAAGAAATGTGTGACCCTCCAGAGGATGAAAGCCCTGGATGAAGTTGTCAAGAAGTTCAGACCCAATGCCTTTCGAGTTTTACGGTTGTGTCTTAACATTTACTGTAGTTTTTCCCTTGTTTGTCCCCTGAAATT